TAAACATCGGGGTGCACGTACCCTTTCGGATCCCTACTTTTGTATCTTTGGGGTAAATACCCAGTAGTGCAATTGCTGGATCATATACCTCAGTTTCTTTTAACAGCAGCATAGTATTTCTTACCTATCCATTCATGCCCCATGAGGCTGACAATATGCTAGGTGCTGGCAATTCAACCATGACTATGTAGACAAGGTTTCCCCCTTCATGGAGCTTCTAGTCTGATGGGAAACAGTCAACAAACACAAATGAACTTGATAATTGTAGGGAATGGTTAAATACTATGGGAAAAAATAAGAAAAGAACTGTGGGACTGGGGTGGGGAGAGGCTACCTAACCTAGAATGGTGATCAATAAATGCTTCTCTGAGAATGTGACATTTAAGCTTTCTCTCAAGTGATGAGACAGAAGTGGTCCTAAAATACTAATATTTCTTGACAAACCATAAGAGACTCAACTATAGGAAACAAACTGAGGTTCAATGGAGGGGAGGTGGGTGGGGAGAAGGGGTAATTGGGTGATGGGCATGAGGAGGGCACTTGATGTAATGAGCACTGGGTGTTATATGCATCTGATGAATCACTAAATTCTACTTCTGAAACTAATAATATACTGTATGTTAATTAATTGATTTTAAATAAAATTAAATAAATAAATAAATAAATAAATAAAATACTAATATTTCTGATCCCCTCTTCATTCCTAGGATCTGTAGTCGGGAAGAAGTAGTGATCCCGTGTGCTTCTGACAATGATTCAGGGAGTGTGGATTTGCAGCTGAGCAACTTAGAGAATATTGAAAAAGATCCAAGTAGCCTTGAACTTACAGGTAAAGGGGGGAAAGGATTTTTTTCTTTTTTCTTTTTTTTTTTTTATGGAAGGAAGGGAAGTGGAGAAAAGGGCTTCTCTGTTTGAGTCAAGCTGCTGGATGAGAGCCCTCAACTAGACTTTGACAATGAATTTTGGTCCCTGAATTTAAGACCTTGGAATATGGTTGGCACAATGAGATAAAATATATTAGTCTAGACATACAGGAAACTGAGATAGTTAATCCTACAGACTTGCACAGAGTCTAAGTGCTAGAATGATTCTGAGAAGGGAAAGGTGGTTGTGGGTGGACCCTTGATTGGGCTATAGAATACATCTTTTCATTTATTCTACAAGCATTTACTGAGTACCAGTTGTTGAATATACAGCAATGAACAAGACCGACATGGTCCCTGCCCTCACAGAATTTGCTGAAAAGGACCAAAATAAGTAAACAGATATTAAATAAAGTAATTACAAATTGTAGTTAATAGTATGAAAGAATTATACAAGGGGCTGAGACAAAAAATAAGGGAGATGGGAACCTATTTTAAGCTATGGTTCGCAGAGAACACCTATCTAAGATGGTGCTGTTTAAACCTAAAGGAGGCCTCAAGGATATCAAAGAGCAACCCATGTGAGAAGTAGAGGAAAGAACATTCCAGATAGATATAATAGCATGTGCATGAGACAGGAAAGACTATTTGAGGAACACATTTCTCCATTTCTACACTCATTCAGCAAGCATTTATTGAAGTCCTACTATGCCGTAAACACGGATCTAGCTGCTGGAGATTTAGTAATGAACAGAGTAGACACAGTGTACTTGTAGATAAATGATTGGAACTCAATTTAATATGGGTGATTGGGAGTGTAGGTAGGGAGCAAATATAAAGAGGTTTTTTAGCAGTTAGGTGGATACTTGGTCAAAATGGGCAAAGAGGAGATTCAAGAAAGGCATCCTGGAGCAGAGCCCTGAAGGATGAGTGGCAGTTAGCTAGGCAAAGGAGGTAGGAGGTAGGGAAGGTAGGGAAGAAGAAGGAGAAACATGTAGGGAGAAGCATGAGAGCTGAATGAGATAGGACTTCTATTGCATGAGAAGAATGTGACAGTGGGTGGCAGGAATTTGCAGAGAGGTTGTAATTCAGGAGAGCAAAAAGTGTACAGAAGTGGAGAGGTAGAAACCCTGATGATGGGTGTGTTAAGAGGGAAATAGTTAAGACTATTTCCCCAATAGGAATAAAGAACTTGGTTTTGGAAAACAGAGGAGGTAAGGATGTAAAGCTATATGAAGGGGGAAATGATACCACCATAATCACTGTCACCAGCAAAGGAATAATATTTGCCACCACCTCCTTGGTGCTAGCTCTGTATCAACCAAACGAGGCAGGTTCTATTATCATCCCCATTTTGGAAATGAAGAAACAGACCCAGAAAAAGTAAGATCACACACGGTCAGAATGCTAGAAAGAGGTAGAGCAAGGATCCAAGCCTAGGCAGACCAACTCCGGAGGCTGTGCTCTTAAGTATATCCCAGGTCTGGAAGGAGGTCCCTCAAACACCTACTGCAGCCTGGTCCAGTAGGAAGAGACCAGCAAGGGGCTGCTACTGTATTTTAAGCTCTTGTCATCACAGAGTCATAGTCATTTTGAATTTAATAATAATACCGACCATTAGGGCTTACTATGGACCACATACTGAGATAAATCTTTTGTATTCATTACCTCACTTAATCCTCGTGATAACCCTGTTTTGCAGGTGAAGAAACTAAGATTCCAAGAGGCAAACTAACTTGATAAAGGTCATACAACTAATAAGGGGTAGAGCAAGGATTCAAATTAGTCTCAGACTGAGATGTAAAGTCCATGCTCTTAACCACTCTGCTATAGCTCACTCTTAAAGGTTTTTGTAGCTTAGGAGTCCCTTAGAAAACACTGAATTTGTAATTGGGAAGACAGACTTGGACAGCGGAAGAGACTTGGTCAAGGTTGCAGAGCAGATAGTAAGGGTGAGACCAGGTCACGTCTATCCTGACATCCGGTGGATCTCCCCATTATGACTGTATAACTCTACGTAGTACAGATATGTAATCTGCTGTGTTTCTTTCGGTATTAGACTCCAACATCTCTGACATCGCTGAACTCTCTCGGGAACCGCTCACAGATAGCTTCAGACGCCTGACCCAAAAGGACCCCCTCAGTGAGGCCATTGTTGAGAGGCTGATCCAGTCTATCCAGGAGGTTTTTGATGGTGAGCTACAGGTATGCACAAGCAATCATACTGAGTCATCCAACTTATTCCTCCATTTTAACAAATATTTTAAACATTTATGATTTCTTTATCATACAAATAATTGATATTATAGACTATAAAATATGTTTATATTTGTGTTTTTATAATAAACATTTATATACATTTATAAATTGTATTTATATTTATGCTTCTGTTTACAAAAACTATAAAATCCCTATTAAAAGAAAGAAAAGGAAAAAAATGAATCTTCCTTAATCCACTCTCCCAAGATAACTAATGTTAACATTTTTGTATATATATTTTCAGACTTTTTCTTCTGTACATACAAATGCATGTAATTATAGAAAAATAAACATCAGAGATGGTGGGATGAAAGAAGTTTTCTAGGTGAATAGCTATGGATCTATATTACCCTGCTTAATACAGTATTCTGTTGTTTAGCAGAACATTCATTCATTCATTTATTCTGTGAGAGCACATAACAGAAGAATTTATCTTAACCTGGGGGCAAGGGAAGGCATTTCTGAGGAAGGAACCCTGGAGATCAGATATGAGGAATGAATAGGAGAAACCAAGAGAAGTTAGAATTGGAGGAAGTATTCCAGAAATAGGGCATCGTATATATAACAACCTTGAGGCAGAAAGGAGCAGAGCATGTTTGATGAACTCGCAGAAGGCTGGTATGTTTAAATGATAGTGATGAAGGTGTTTGTCAACAGACACTTAGGTTATTTCCATATCTCCACTATTGTGAATAATGTTGCATTGAACTTGGGAGTGCAGAGATCTCTTTCAGATCCAGATTTCACTTCCTTTGACTATATACACAGATGTTTCTAGTTTGGGAAAATTCATCAAACTTTACATTTTCTCTATGTATAATGCTAATAAAAAGTTTTTGGGAAAAAAGCACTTAAAGCCAGAATGTTGGTCTTCACTTCCGACTCAGACTTTTCTTTACACTTCATGTTAGCAGGGCTTTATAAAGCATTTCTTTGTAATTAATAAAGGGCTGGGATTGCTGCAGTGAACTGGAAGAAAAGAAAATCCATTCCCTGCCTTGACCTGAATCCACAACCAGGCGGGAAAATAGATGAATAAGACAAAATAAGTTTTTGTCAGAGTATCACAAATACCATGATAGCAATATATACATGTGCTTTATGGATACTCTTAGGAAGGGCACCCAATGCTGCTTCAGGAGAAAATGCATTTTCCTAGTCTTAAAGGATATATAGATTTTAGTAAGCAAAATAAGTATAGAGAATTCAGAAGGCTCAAAGGCCCAGAACCAGAAAAGGGCAGCATAAAAGTTAATCTGTCTAAAGCTCAGAATGCTGCAGGGCAAGGAGATGAATTTGAAGAGGTTAGCTGGGGTCACATTGGGAGGGCCTTGACCTCCATGGGTGCCATTGAAAGATATTTTAATAGGGAGCTACCTGATCAAGTTTGCACTTAGTGAAGATGAATCTGGTGACAGCTAGGGGAATAGATTGGAGGGGAGCAAAACTGGAGCAGGGAAACTCAATGTTGATTGTTATACTAATGTAGATGAGAAAGAATTAGGCCATAAAGTCAGCTTCTGGCTGTATATATTGCTACTTGCTATCCAGAAAGCTTATACCAGTTTATACTATCTATAGGCTGTGAGGGAAGATGAGAAGAAATTTTCCCAAGATTGTGGAATTATTGATGTCTTTTATTGTCTTCTTCACACTTTATTTTTTCAAAGTTTCTATGATAAATAGATAACTGCTTTTATAATCAGAAAAAGAATAATACAAAAGATTTTACTCTTCAAATAAGAACTTGCATTTTATTTTATTTATTTATTTATTTTTAAATATTTTATTTATTTATTTGCATGAGAGAGAATGAGAGAGAGCACATGAGAGGGGGGAGGGTCAGAGGGAGAAGCAGACTCCCCGCCGAGCAGGGAGCCCGATGTGGGACTCGATCCCAGGACTCCAGGATCATGACCCGAGCTGAAGGCAGTCGCCCAACCAACTGAGCCACCCAGGCGCCCAAGAACTTGCATTTTAATAGAAAATCTTAAAGACTCAAAATCATCTTTAATGACATCAAGAGAGCTAGAAGTAACAGTCAAAGAAGATAACCTTTAGTGAGTTTAATCAGACAGTAGTATATAGACAGGATGGGTAGGTGGGGAAGCAAAGACTAAAGGTGAGGAGCGCCATCATGGAGCAGTTAGTAATCTAGCATTTAATCTAGCTGAGAGGGAAAACAAAGTCCCAAACCCAGACAGGGCAAGTCGACAAGGAATTCCACATCTCTGTAATTTATTCATTCCTTATAATAAAAGACCTGAGACTAGATTGAATGAGATGTCAGATGTTTAGAACATTACAAGAAACTTCTCAAAAGCCCTCTACAATCATCAAATGAGATTATAATATATAATTGTGTTTTTATCATTTTTCCACAAATTCAGAGTGAACTTGAGAAGCTGACATTCCTACGATCTTTGTCTTCTCTCAGCCGAACTTTACCCTATGATGACACCACAGAATCATTCATTCACAGCCACATAGAAGACATTGTGTGTATCCTAAATGTAAGTATTGTGACCTTATCACAAATTATCAGGACCAAATTCGATGACTTGACTAACAAATGTTTTAGTGGCTTCACATATATTACCAATTTCCTTGACCTCTTCTCATACCAGTATCTTTGCATGGAGGAGAAATACTCAGGAGTACTCCACAAATACAATTACCCTTGAAAGCCAACTAAAAGATGGGTAGAGGGGTGCCTGGGTGGCTTAGTCGTTAAGCGTCTGCCTTTGGCTCGGGTCGTGATCCCGGGGTCCTGGGATCAAGCCCCGCATTGGGCTCCCTGCTCGTTGGGAAGCCTGCTTCTCCCTCTCCCACTCCCCCTGCTGGTGTTCCCTCTCTCACTGTGTCTCTCTCTGTCAAATAAATAAAAATCTTTAAAAAAATAAAATAAAAGATGAGTAGAAATGAGACAGCATTTAAATTTCTCAGTAAGGACAATGCTGCATTCTCATTAATGAAGTCATAGTTGTGAGGCAAACTCTATAATCCAATGCCCAGGTTCAGGTGCCAGTTCTGCCTCTTTTCAGCTGTTTGACTTTGGGAAGCTGTGTAACTTCTCAGTGCTGCAGCTTCCTCATCTACAAAATAAAAATAGCTGTATCTTTCACAGAGCTATTGAGAGTATTAAATAAGAAATAAACATAAGCCATGTAGTGTGATACCTAACACATAGTTTACATTTGAGAAATATGGTTATATTCTTTTTATTGTATTTATACCTAACTCCAGCCACAGTCTATCGCTGTCTCATTCATTTATTGCCTTTTTAAGTGCCTGACCGTTCCAGGCAGTGTCTGGGCTGCAAATTGAGGTTACAAAGATAAGACAGGATCCCTGTTCCTGAAGCCAAGCAAGGTGTAATCAAGCGTCACAGGGACTGTGACAAAAGTTTAAACAGGTATAGTAAGGGTACAGAGGAGTGAGTGAGAGTTTGATTCCATGTCAAAAGATCCAGAAGGGCTTTACAAAGGAAGTGATGCACTTAAGCAAGTGTTTAATTTTTTGATGCTTTATTTTTCTCGTCTGTGAAATGTCCCCTTCAGTTTCTCTGAAGCTTTAGAATTCTGAATCTGAGATTTCAGGGAAATGAGCAGTTTTTTTTCCAACCCACAGATCTATAAGGCTGATTAGACTGATGATTAGTTTTCAGAATTGAAGGCTAACCAGCCAACAGGTTTGTTAAGCAATAGACAATTATCAAGGATCTTCTATATCTAGAACACTGTGGTGCTTCAATAAAGAATGCAAATTTCCTGGAAGTGTTAATCCTTGCCCTCCAAGAGTTTACAGTCCATTTGGAAATGACCACCTCATAAATAGGTTGAAAACTATTCCAAATAATACATCAAAAAGAACAGAATGAGGGGCGCCTGGTTGGCTCAATCGGTTAAGCATCTGACTCTTGGTCTTGGCTCAGGTCATGATCTCGAGGTCGTGAGATCGAGCCCTGCGTCAGGCTCCGCTCTCAGTGAGGAGTCTGCTTGGGATTGTCTTTCTCCCTCTCCCTCTGACTCTCTCTCTCAAATAAGTCTTAAAAAAAAATAACACTGCTTAAATCTAGCAAAAATTTTTAAAGAAGAAGAACAGAATGATATTTTGCAGATTTAAGGATGAATACAGCTCTCTACTTGGCTACACTCCATGGAAAGAAGGTTATAGGCAGCCATAGGATCCAACCAAATGTCATGATTCCAAAATCTCAGTTCCACAAAGATTGGCAGCAGTGAGTTGCCACCTGGTTCAACCAGCCAGCTCAGAAGATCCACAAATACAAGTCCCAAACAGCAAAAGTAAACTGAATTTCCCCATACTCTGCGTCTAGATCTGTCCAACCATTGGTAAAATACCCACTTCAGGTATCAACCAAAATTTGAGCTAGCAGGTACAGCCTAGAAGAGTTAAAGTAGTTGGTGTCCATGAGAGAATTGCATGGGTCATTGCATCATTGGACAAGTCTACAAAGTCCCTGCAAGGTCATGTGCAGGGACTAGAAGAGTACAGCTCCCAACAACCAGGAGGAGATGTACTTCTGCTGAGTAATCCACAAGGAGAGGAAAGCCAGGGCCATTATAAAGAAGAATGGTAAGGCATTTGCCAGTCTTCTCATGACCCATGCCAATGCATGCCTCCTCAGTATCCAAATAAAAAAACCCAAAGAAGCTATGAACAGAATATGGAAAGGAAGGGGAAAAGATCTGTTATGACACTCCACCAAAGAAGATTTATAAATAAGCATATGAGAAGATGCTCCATCATTGTGATTAGGGAAAAGCAAATTAAAACCACAATGAGATTGAACTATACACCCACTAGAACACTTTCCATATGACCCTGCAGTTCTACTCCTAGGTAAAATGAAGCATATGTCAAACAAAAACATGTACACAAATGTCCATAGAAGCTCTATATGTAACAGCTAAAACACCCAAATGTCCATCAACAGATGAATGGATAAATAAATTGTGGTATATCCTTATAATGGAATACTACCTAGCAGTAAAAAGGAATGAACACGGGTGCCTGGGTGGCTCAGTCGGTTAAGTGTCTGACTTGTTTCAGCTCAGGTCATGATCTCAGGGTCATGAGATCAAACCCCGTGTTGGGCTCTGCACTGATTGTGGAGCTTGCTTAAGATTCTCTCTCCCTCTGCCCCTCCACACTCCCGCCCTGCTTGTGCATACGTACGTGCACATGCACACTCTCTCTCTTAAAAAACAAACAAAAAAGAATGAGCTATTGATACATGCTACAACTTGAATGAATCTCAACATAATCATGCTGTGTGAAAGAAGCCAGACAAAGAAGATATAGATCATATGATTCTATTTAAATAAAATTCCAGAAAATACAAACTTGTATAAAGTGACATCAGATCAGTGGTTACCTGAAAATAGGAGTAGAATGGGGAGGAACAGGAGTGAGAAATTACAAAGTTTACACAAACAAACTTTTTGGAGTGATCCATATGTTCATTATCTTGTGGTGAATGTATACCTAAGTCAAAAATCTTCAAACTATACACTTTAAATATGTACGGTTTGTTGTGTGTCTTACCTCAAAGTCAAAAAAGCTATAAAAATTCTGTTGAGAACTTCAATAGAAAAGAAGAAATGCAATGGCAACTAGGATATGGAGTAAAGATGACAAGATTGGCATGAAATTAATCCAGATAGATCTCCTGATCTAAGCCTGGAAGGATGTGCTGGATTGGGTAGACAGAAGGGACCAGGGGGTAGGGGTTTGATCGGCAAATGACTACCTGGCTATGGCAAGGCAGAATGGCAGTGGAGGTGCTTTTTAGATGCTGTTGGTACTCCACAGCAGACATGAGCGCTACGACCTGCGATACTAGAATCTTAATGATGTCAGACTTGCACTTGGGGGTCCACCCTAATTCTGCACCTGGGGTCCTTCACAAAATCCTACTACTACTGTGTCGTTTGGTAAATAAAGTTACACTCAGCATTGAACAGGCACTGGATCACTTGAGCCATGAGGCAGGCAGTAGATGAGAATGACGTTTCAGGAAGACTCTTCAGTGTTTATGGATAATAAATGCTGAAGGATTTCGGAGGATGGATAGGTCACAGTAGACTGAACTAACATGAGAAGACTGCCCAGTTGTGCTGGTGAGAGTGTGAGCTCCCTGAAGCAGAACGGTGAAGAAGAAAGGGAGCTATTTTAGGAATTAGAAGACACAGTTTCGGGGCGCCTGGGTGGCTCAGTCGTTAAGCGTCTGCCTTCGGCTCAGGTCATGATCCCAGGGTCCTGGGATCGAGTCCCACATCGGGCTCCCTGCTCTGCAGGAAGCCTGCTTCTCCCTCTCCCACTCCCCCTGCTTGTGTTCCTGCTCTCGCTATGTCTCTGTCAAAAAAAAAATAAATAAAATCTTTAAAAAAAAAAAAAAAAAGAAGACACAGTTTCTAGTACCAGTGCTGTCAAGCACAACCTGTGTGATCTGAGACAAATCGCTTAGCTTCTCTGAACCTCTAGCTCCACCTGGAAAATGGAGATAGTAATATCTGTCTGGCTTTCATTAAGGCCTTTGAGACAAAATGTCTCATTTTGTTTTTTTTTTGTTTTGTTTTGTTTTTTAAAGATTTTATTTATTTATTTGAGAGAGAGAGAATGAGAGAGAACACATGAGAGGGGGGAGGGTCAGAGGGAGAAGCAGACTCCCCGCCGAGCAGGGAGCCCGATGCGGGACTTGATCCCGGGACTCCAGGATCATGACCTGAGCCGAAGGCAGTCGCTTAACCAACTGAGCCACCCAGGTGCCCAAAATGTCTCATTTTGTTAAGATTGGTTAAGATTCTTCTTGGAGAGAGCAATAAAAATCAACTCTGGCTCACTTAGTTAAAAAAGAAAAAATAGCATGCTGGGATATCTCCCTTAGAATCTAAGCCTTTTAACAATCAAGCCTCCAGAAGAGGATGTTCCAGGACAACTCCTGGGGTCTCAAAGGTGGTGTTTGTTCTCCTATCACAATGACCAGACCTTCAGCCGCTCCCAATCTGTGTCTGTCATTCAAAAATTCCAGATTCTGGAAGAAAGAATCTGATTGGCCCAGACTGGGTCTGTTCTCCACTCCTTCATCAACTAGGCATGTTTGGGGGCAGCATCATATAGTAAGGGCATGACTTCTGGTCATCCCTCTCTGTGTATTGGAGGCCATTCCCAGAGAAGGGATGATTGCTGTAATCTGGATAGTCACCCCAAGAGGTTCCTACTACACAAATACTTGACAAACAAAAAATAGCCTCTCACTTCTGAATTCCCCATTGCAGTTAGCATAATTGTGAATAAATAATAAGCCTTTCATACCTAACTGATTGAAAAAAGGAATTGCAGGCCTGGTGGCTTAGCTAAGAGACACTGCCTTCATCCACATGTGAGGCGAGTGGCTGTAGGGATGGGGAGTCCGGAACTGTGCAGCGCAGACAGTGGCCATCATCATGATTGATTGGATGCGGGAAATGAATAAAGGAGAAAAAGAAATTGTAAGTCACCTCTTTTATGTGCCCTGGGAAAGAGCACCACTGACAACAACTGAAGGCTGGGAAGGTGTGTCCTTTGGAGGAGGAAGATAATGAACTCACTTTTTAACACCAAATTGCCAGGATGTAGCTATGCTCTTAGTGGTGATGCCCGTGAGATAGCTAGATTTGGGGGAGTAGAGCCAGATTTGGGGGAGTAGAGCCCTGGGAGGCTGAAGGGAGAGTCTTGTGCTTTGTCCCTTCCAGACTATAAAGCCGTAAAATTAAGTGAGTTCCTTGAGGAAACAAGAAAGAGCATCAGGCCACCAGCAAGATCTGAGCAGAGTTGGAAAGTGAGAAAGAAAAGAGAAAAGTCAGGAAGGGGTAAGAGAGAGAACACAGTAATATTTATTGAGCGCTGCCTCCTGGACACTAAGTTCCTGGTGAGTCTTTTTGGTGGCAGGAAAGAGAAATCTACAGGAGGCAGCTGAAACACTAAAGGGGAGATTTGTTCTTAGGATAACTGAGCGTTCCCAGAATCTTGTAACTGGAAGAGCAACATGCTCCAAGAAGAGAATGAAGCCAGAAAAAAAAAGCAAAAAACAAAAAAACTGTCACATACTCAGAACTTTCTCTCCATCTTTCATCTTTGCTCCTTTGTATATACTTTCATTTCTCTCTCTCTCCCTCACCTCTCTTCCCAAAATTGGCTCTCTCTGTTACCTTGTCCACAGGGCACAGTGCTCCCAAATTTTAAATTTTCTCTTTTTAGTAGGCCAGCCAGAAATAAGATTGAGGCTCTTGGTCTCAGTTCCAGAGTGCTGAGAAAAAGAATCTACTCCTGTCTGGATAAGGTGTGGTTAGTGGGACAGAATGATTTAGCGGAAGCATGGCTGTGAGGTGCCCATTCTGGGACCCAGGGGCATTTTCCAGAAAGGCTGGGTAGACAGCCCAGGAAGGCTTCTACTACAACCATTTACGTTTGCTCTTTTTATTAACTCCCTGAGATGTTTCTCTTTTCCCCCATACAGATCAGGAAACTGGGGCCCGGGGAAGTTAAATGCTACATTCTGGGTCACACGGGGAGAGAGAGGCAGAGCCAGTGTGCAAACCCAGGTGCTGTCTAGCTCCAGAGCCTCTTTTTTCCTCTCTGTCACTCTACAGATTTTTCCAACAAAGCAAGGCAGCTTTCCAAACTCTGCCAATTTGGAATTTGGAAAGCTATTCCTTTTCTAGGACAAGTCGCATAGTAATATTAGACACTATAGTAGAGATTGCTGTTTGGTAGAAAGAGGAGTTAGGATGCCTAAACTGGAAATAATCACAAGTAGTAAAAATAATGAGTAACAGATGCTAAGAGTTCTCAAGGGCTACTAGGAATTATGAATTAGCTCATTAGTGTTCACAACCGCCTTGGGATGGTAAAGAGTACGGTTGCCTCACTTTACAAAGAGGAAACTGAGGTACAGGGGGGGAGGGGCAGGGTAAATCACTTGTGTCCACTCAAACAGCTAATAAGAGGCAGCGCCAGGCCTCAGGCTCTGGCTCCAGAGCATAAACTCCTGGCCTGGCCACTGTCCTGCTGCCCGTCCTGTGGAGCCAAGAGCAGGATGAAGTCCCTGCTGTGGTTCTTGCAGGCATCTACATCTTTGATCGTCTAGCCCAAGGACTTGGCAAGTTCTTGACTCTGTTTTAAAGTTCTTGCCCTCGGGGCGCCTGGGTGGCTCAGTCGTTATGCGTCTGCCTTGGGCTCAGGTCATGATCCCAGGATCCTGGGATCGAGCCCCGCATCGGGCTCCCTGCTCCGCAGGAACCTGCCTCTCCCTCTCCCACTCCCCCTGCTTGTGTTCCCTCTCTCGCTGTGTCTCTCTCTGTCAAATAAATAAAATCTTTAAAAATAATAATAAAAAAGTTCTTGCCCTCTCATTGCAGATGCTGGTAGAAGAGGAGCCTGTGCATTCTCTCTTGAGCTCTGTGCTCCAGGAGGTCTTTGTCACCATCGCTGACCTCAGGTGACACCCACATGCTGCCCCCTGCCCCTTACACATGTCCTGCTTTCTCGGTCAGGGCCAAGACCAGAGCCAACTGACACGTTCCATACTTTTAACTTTTGCAAACTATTTATATAGGGAAGGGGAAGCAAATCCATGTTTTCTGTGTAAGAAATTTGATTTCATATATGCCACCATCATATCTGAAAGACCTTATTGGAACCTCTTTGGAGTTCAGTTTTGTCCAAAGTATATTCAGTGGAAAGTTACTCTCGTGTGTGCTTCATGACAGTAGAGTTCCACAGTCCAAGAAATTTGGAAGGGCTGCCTGCTGTTTATCTTTCTTGGAGATTTGTATGGCACACTAACTTATTAAAGGCCCCAAGAAATCCTATAGTTAAAACGATTTTTAACTTGGTTCCATCCACCATTCCTCTAACAAACATTCAGCAGAACATCCTTTGGAAAATCATGGTTTACATGTTAGACTATAGCAGGCTTTCCTCCGTAGTTAAACTGGAGGAAAGCCTGGAAGGATATCATTCCAGTACCCTCTTGGGAAGGCGGGGAGGGACAGGGAACAAGGATGGAGGCTCTGAGCCCTGAAACTCTTCCTCCAGCCTTTTGTAAGATTTGTCTAAACAGGCTAACAAGCATGCCCTTTGTCTCTTCCACCAGAATTATACACCAGCTAGTCCACTCATTCCTCCTGGGTTACTTCGACCCCTGCTTACCACTGTCAAATCAAAGTCTTCCCAGCTTACTATTCCTAAACTGTCTTTTCTTAGCTACCAAGGTGTCCACTTGCTATTTGGCTCTGAAGATGGAGCTGATTTGTTCAGTCTTATTACAAAAAGTATAATCACTCTGCCCTCCGTAACAACTCTTATCCAGCTGCAGGAAATCATGCCAAGTGGGTCCTACAACACAGAGGTAACTCCTGCTTTGGTTTAATAACTTGCCATCCATAGGTCAGCTGATCATGGCTCTTTGAGAGTGCATTTGATTTTTTGAAACTAGCCAAAAATCATTTCAGCCAAGTCTGGTGAATAAAATAAGCAGTTAAATAGCTTTTCCCCCCTCTTTATTTTTTCTTTTTCTTTCTTTCCTTCCTTCCTTTCTTCCTTCCTTCCTTCCTTCCTTCCTTTCTTTCTTTTAGAGAGAGAGAGCACAAGAGGGAGAGGGAGAGAGAATCTCAAGCTGACTCTGCACTGAGCGTGGAGCCCAGTGTAGGGCTCAATCTCATGACCATGAGATCACAACCTGAGCTGAAACCAAGAGCTGAAACCAAACTGCACCACCCTGGCGCCCCTCTCTCTTTATTTTTTTTTAAGATTTTTACCTATTTATTTGAGAGAGAGAGAGAACATGCACACGCAAAAGCGGGGGGAGGGGCAGAAGAAGAGGGACAAGCAGACTGTATACTGAGCCTGACATGGGGCTCCATCCCATGACCCTGTGATCATGACCTGAGCCCAAATCAAGAGTCAGATGCTTAACCGACTGAGCCACCGCCAGGTACCCCCCTCTTTATTTTGTCTTCTTTCTTTTTCCCTTCATTCCTTCTTTCCTTGCTTTTGGCTTTAAAATATGATGAGAGTGTTCATATACGTAGCAGATTTTAGAGTTACCATATGCTAAGCATCATGAGAGGCAACAGAAATACAGCAGTACACTCTCTCATCTGGGGAGCTTATATCCTAGTGTAGAGATAAAACTGCTGATAAATGTATCAGGTGGTAATAAGTGCTATGAAAAAAATAGAACAGGGGTGCCTGGGTGGCTCAGTTGGTTAAGCGTCTGACTCTTGATTTTGGCTCAGGTCATGATCTCAGGGTCCTGGGATCCAGCCCTGTGTCAGGCTCCTGCTCATCATGGATATTCTCTCTCTCTGCCTCCCTCTACCCCTCCTCCCCCTGCTCACATGCACGCTTTCTCTATCTCTCTCAAATAAAAAAATCTTTAAAAAAATATTGAACAGGGAAAGAGGAGGATAAAGAGTACTGTGGTTGGGAGGCACAGGGGCTTTTTTACATAGGGTGGTCAGGGAAAGTCTTCCTGATGAGGTGACAGTTGCAAAGAGGAGCTGGATATCTCTGGAGGAGAAGCTTTCAAGCAGAGAGAAGAGGAAATGCAAAGGCCTTGATTTTCTCCTGCAGCTAGTAAGCTGGTTGGTAAAGCAGTTTCCAAAGGGGACTTTATTCCCTTCTGTTTCAAGATGTCAGAAAGAGTCACAAGTCAAATTTTGAAGCTATCTTGATGATCCTAACTAATTTCCCAAATGTAGTTAGAATCAGTTAACTGTGTTCCCAGTAATGCTGAGATGTCCATTTAAAATGAATGTATTGTGGGGCACCTGGCTGGCTCAGTGGGTGGCACATGTGACTCTTGATCTGTGGGTTGTAAGCTTGAGTCCCACAGTGGGTGTAGAGATTACTTAAAAATAAAACCTGAAAGAAAAAAAAAAGAAAATGAATATATTGTTTCACCTCAGCTCACAAACCGCCTACCAGTACTTTCACACTGGTTCCGTGCCTTTGAGTAAAGTCTCAAGATAAGAGCCTTAAAAGTGTATATTGTACTTGGTGGAAATGCAAGCTGGTGCAGCCACTCTGGAAAACAGTATGGAGGTTCCTCAAAAGGTTAAAAACAGAGCTACCCTATGATCCAGGAATTGCACTACTGGGTATTTACCCAAAGGAAACAAAAATACTAAATCAAAGGGATACATGCACCCTGATGTTTACAGCCTCACTATCATCAGTGGCCAAATTATGGGAAGAGCCCACACGTTTGTTGACTGATGAATGGATAAAGAAGATGTGGTGTGGGGCGCCGGGGTGGCTCAGTCGTTAAGCGTCTGCCTT